AGCTTATTTATTCTCTCCTTTGTTCGTAGTGAACGTGTGCAATCCTAAAAGTGCGGGTACTCGGAGAGAAGGTAAATTTTACGGCAGTTTTGCAATGCAGTGGCTGTACTGAAAATCGCAGAAAGCATCACGGGAGCCCGCCCTCCCCCTCCCCCGATGCGTCCATATTTATGGCTCCTGTTCGCTCGTCTTATGCCTTGCGTGCGCTATTGATTTGCACGGGGCGCGTTACTCTCAGAACAATGGATGTTCACTCTCGACGGACCAGCTTCAGTAGTTTTTGATGTTGCTTAGAAACTGGCTCAGTTAAGGCTGCGGAATGCATTTCGGGACTCATTTCCGGTTGACACGAACCAGTGCAAAGGGCTTAGTCGTAATTCTGTCACTACGCGATGGACCTCCCGTTCACAGAAAAGCCGCGAGTGCGGAGCGGCGGCTTCCAAGTCCTTCTGACCCAAGCCAACGGTTCAGAGGTCGAGTCCCAGCGGCACTATTGTCACATTTCAGCTGTGCCACAGGTCAGACGACCAGACGATGCATTGGCGACGCGCAGACCCGGGTTCAGTCTTCACGTCAAATTCTTGGTGGACAAAATGATAGTGATTCGCCATTTCGCTGACCTCGGAGTAAATGTGCCTTGATATTTGTAATAAGAAACAGTTGAAAAACAGCGTGCGTTGGATTACCTTGTGATTCACATGTACATTCTAAAAGTAACCCGTATCAGAGGTTTGCATGTGTGTAATTTCATTCGGGGTTGTTCGGAAGAGATCGTAAGTGTTCGGTTACGGTCCAGGGGTCGCGATGCGGGTTGCATTCAACAGTTAGCAATTTACCCGGATCCCACGTAGTTCTGCCGCTGGGTGGCCTGCGTCTACAGCGTGGTGATGGACTAGTCGCCAGGCAACGAGGTCGTGTTAGTTGCAGTTGTTATGTGTTCTTATAACCTCCTGACCACGATCTGTTTCCTAGGGAAATTGGTTCATGTAATGCGCGCATGCATCTTCAGCTGTTATCAATTTACGTGCAGAACCGTTACACAGAATGTTTCATAAGTGCGTATTTCACGAGACCTTGCGTTGTTGTTTGCTGTGCGTACGTTTATTTTCGAAACTTGCCGAAGACGAGATTATCGTGCTGAAATTATCGTGTCAGGTGGCCGCTGGTCAACCAAAATATAATTTTCTTGCGTGTACTCGAGCAGTTCTACCAACTGTGTTAAATGCAGTTAAGTAAATTGAGTGAGTAAGTTTTATATTGAATGTTCAGCTCTCATAAGTCATACGCATTTCAATTTGCATTTAATACCCAGTCTCCTTAAACAGTGTACAGAAATTTGAAACAACGCACTGCATTTCTGTGCAGCGTGGTTTTTATAGTTGGCGCGAGTCAGAGAGCTCCCTCAGAGTGACCGTTTCATGTTATCTCTGCCTCTGACTCCGTTGTTGAGGAACGGATTCGTAATTGCCTGGAAGGAAGCTGACGAATTAAAAGC